GCCCTCTCCCTCTTTCCCGATTCATCCGAACGCATCAAACGTCTCTTGCCCTACTTAATAAAGTTTCAGTAGCACTTCACTGCCGCACTGCAAATGTTTAAGTGGTAGTGCCTGGTGTTTGCATAACTTCAAAGCCCAGAAAATTGTCACGGTGGCACACATTCTGACAGTGCAATAGATGAATTTTCCACCTCTTTACCCGATGTTTTGCTGGCTTTAATGTGACTCTAGAGACCAATCTACAGCAATGCATTCTCGATGCCTCTTCTCCTTCAAATTGTCCTATTTCAACTTACATCCCTTGAAGTAGAAAAGAAAACCTCACAGTTAAAAGGGAGTTCTAAACTTCACGCCTTTGTTTGTTACCTTCATTGTTGTTTTTATGCATCCCCTCAATTGATGGATTAGTGGAGCTTCAAGCAGTCCTTTCATTCAATACAATGGCCAGCATCCAATTTCTTTTCCCAAAAAAAAACGCTTCACTTTTACTATCACTGTTAAGGTCTTTTCTTTTGGTCATTAAAAGTATGCACGAAAACGAGCCTCCCGTACCTCAGTAGATTTTTTTGTGTCATGGTTATCTTTCCACGCATACAGTCGTCCATTTCTTATTTATGTTAATGATAAAGCATCTTCTGCGCTGATACACTTCATTTCGCATTCAGAGAGGATTCAGTTCTCCTTCTTTTCCACTCTGGTGGCCGCAAGGGAGGTATGCATTGCCAAAACAAACAGATTGACGAGATTGTAGATGATTGATAATGGGGAAGGAGATGTCAGCAGTCAACTTTACCTTCAAATGGCGTCAAAAATGCCTCCACAGGGAACTACTCTCGCCTTTTTGTCAGGCTGTGAAGTCTTTGTGGAAACAATGTGATGAAAATGTGATGATACACTCGGACATAGGTGTGTCAATAAAAAAAAGAGGCCGTGTTTTGAATTGAGTGATGCTGGATTGCGCATTCCTACATCCATCAGCTTTCTGCCTTCCATTTTAAGAGGTTAAAACTTCGTCATCATTCCAATTGATTTCTAGGCCATTGTTAAGCTTTCTTCATCGACCTCAGAGCAGGTGGATGAGGGATTGGCTTCACACATTCCTTCAAAGTGAGTGACATGTAGGAGCATTGAGGTAATTCAAGTTGTTCACGATACTCGCCACCTTGGGTTTCCAGAAAGCATGATTAACTTACGCGGAATGACATGAGCGAAGAGATCCGGCCGAGCTCGTACCAGAGCCTTGCGTAGAGCCCGTCGACCCACTCCATGAGCACCGAGGATGACGAGACAACGATGATGAAAGTCGCGCACTTTTGTCACCTCCTCGTAGGCGATGAAGGCGACCTCGCTGAAGAGAAATGCCGCACAGTCACTCCATCGAGGCGGACGTCTAGA